TATTTTTAAAGAAAAGAGCTTGAGTTTTGGAGTCAGAAAGATGGTAAGGTTAGTCCCTGCTTCTTCTACCAGCTGGGCAGCCCCAGGCAAATGATTATTTCTGAACTTGTCTTATACTATTCCTATTCTTTATTTCCACGTCTGGAAAATGGAAATACCAATGATTCCACCTTCCTAGGGCTGTGGTGGGGATTAAATGAAGTAATACATCGGCTGGCGAGGCAAGGGCTCCGCCCAGACACTATGGCTGTGACTCAGGGTGATTCCACCCGGGACTTCACGCGTTCACCCCTCAGTAAAGGGTAACAGATGGACCCCTTCCATTGCTTGCATACTGGTTTGAACTGGCCTATAGTTTTACCCGTGTTTCTGTTGACAGCGGTTACTGTGCGGAGAGAGGTGTTGGAAAAGGGCCGCTCAGACCAAAGCGATCTTTACAGCAGGCCGTTCAGTGGTTTGTGCTGGAGTCCTGGACAGCACCCACTGGGCACCGTCTGAGGCTGGCGCAAAGGAGGGTGTGTGTGTGTGGGGGGGGGTGTGCGTGTGTGTGGGTGTGTGTGTGTGTGTGCGTGTGCGTGTGTGTGTGTGTGGGTGTGTGTGTGTGTGTGTGTGTGTGTGTGTGTGTGTGTGAGATCCGTTGTCGCCTTAATGTCAGCGCAGCAGCATGTGAGGCTCGGACACTTGGAAAGTAGGGGCGTCTGGACAGATCCCCAGCTGCTGGGGTTCAGGGGACGCCTCCTTTAACCTGTGCCTGAGCGTTTTCTTTCTCATCCTCTTTCTCTTTATTTCCCCGTTATGTCCTTCTTTCCTTTTTTCCTTCCTTCCTCACTCCTTCCTTCCCTTCTTTTATTCTGATGGTTCTTCGGTTTCTCAATTCCTTTCTCTCTCTTTCTCTCCTTCCTCCAGCCTGCTGCCCCCTCGGTCTCCTCCCGCTCCTGCCCTCCCCTCTTCCTTCCTGAGCCTTTGCTCTCGGCCATGTTTGGCATAGCCCCCAAGCGTATTACATGCAAAGTAAGCAAAGTCCGTTTTTTGAAAATCATGTTTTTTTTTCTGATTTTTAAAGTAAAAGATACTTATGATAGATAATTTGCAAAATATAATAAATAAAAAGAAGAAAAGTCCCTGTTTCCAACAAGTGTCCTTGTTGGGACCTGGGAGTGTTTATTTCCGGTGACCCCATCGTTTACACGGAGCTTCCTCTCCGTGTGTGCTCTACCTCAGGACCGGGATGCCCCTGCCAACGAGACGAGGTCCCCATCCCGTGGAGCTTCCGTGTGAGCGGAGGGAGGTGGTCAAGAAATGTCAGACACGAAAGATGATTCTGGGTGGAGACAAGTATTGTAAGGAAATGAAACGGGACGGTGCCGGGGAGCCGAGGAGGTGGCGTTCGAGCTGGTGTCTGGATGTGTATCAGATTGGGAACATTTAGAAAATGAATATTTAATTCTGAGGAAGTGCATTCTCGTAAGTGTTGGTGCAAGTGTAAATAGATGTGACAGTTTAGCAGAACGTTTGGCAACATAAGACGCACATGCCCGTTGCATGAGCAGTGCCATTTCGTGGAATCTTTTTTACAAAAGTGCTCACATACCTAAGAACCCGTTCGTTGGAGAGTGAGGAAATTTCTGAACCTTTGAGAAGAACAAAGGCGTTCTCTTCCTTTACACTAACACGGGAGATGTGCCTGGTATATGGAAAGCGTTATGGAAGACATACGGTAGTCATAGCATGTCTGTGCAACAGCCAAGGTCTGAAAGGCTCACACAGGTAGTTAAGGGGGACCACCTCTCGAAGGGGCAGCAAGATGGTTGGGGGACAAGGGAGAGGATGGCTCCATGACCCATTTCTGCATTTGTTTAAATGTTGCAATGAGCATCTTTGGTGATTTTTTAAAAGTTATGCAATGATGCATTCTCAAATTGAGAGTTCTTACATTACAATTTTGCAAACCCACAGAAGGTAGGACAAAAAGTAAAGATCCTCCTCCCCATTACCCAGTGAGACTTGACATTTGGAATAAGGGGGGTTGGGGAGATGAGTCCAGCCAAGTTAATTCAGTAGAAAATGTGGATAACCAAGATGGTGAGAGGGTAGCTTTGGGGAGAAGGGGGACGCCGCTGTGTTGCTCAGGTCCTTTGCCCTTTGCTGTTTTTGACGCTGAGGAAGCCATGGGCCTCGTCTGGGGTCCAGTTCGGTTTTCCCTATTCTGCAGGTAGGGCTGGGCTACTTTCATCGGAAGAAAGGCCTGGAGAGAAGGAATGCCGAGGAAGGCTCTGCCTGACCGGGAAGTGTTTTGTTTTGTTTTAAATATATTTTATTGATTTTTTACAGAGAGGAAGGGAGAGGGATAGAGAGTTAGAAACATCGATGAGAGAGAAACATTGATCAGCTGCCTCCTGCACACTCCCTACTGGGGATGTGCCCGCAACCAAGGTACATGCCCTTGACCGGAATTGAACCCGGGACCCTTGAGTCCACAGGCCGATGCTCTATCCAGAGCCAAACTGGTTAGGGCGGGAAGTGGTCTTGTCAGAATGCCCAGGGATGGACGTCAGAGACCAGCTCACCAAGGGCCACCGTTAATGAGCAGCACTCTTTGTAGAAGCTGGACTCTGATGTAGGGACCACGGTGAGGGGGGTGGGCATGAAACAGATCAACCACGAAAGACCATGAGGTCTGGTAGAGGAGGATGTGTGTGTGTGTGTGTGTGTGTGTGTGTGTGTGTGTGTGTGTGTAAAGCTTAACATTTATAAAGTAATAAAGGAGAACATTTTACTACTTTTAATATAGCATAACAAACAGAATACTGAGGTACTAGGGAGGAAGTCACAGTAACTTGGAGCCATTCGATTTAGGAAACACTAGTTAAGAGAGGCTTGCAGAGGGTAGGAGAAGCGTGTGCACGCCTGTGTGAGTGTGCGTGCGCTGGGGGAGGAGTGGGGAGGTGGTCATAGACACGGGGCACCGGGAGCTATGTTATTAAGTTCAAAGAGAAATTCCAAAGGGAAAATAAAAGCCCCGTTTGACTCAGACATGGTTCGCTTTCTGAGGCGATGTCAAGAGGCACGAGATCAAATCCAGCTCGACACGGTCCAATCCAGAGCCCAGCTCAGCCTCTGCCAACATCTCCATCCTCTGCCAGCGCCTGGGGGGCCCTTCGCTTCCCCTTTGGCAAACAGGAGACAGGGAGCTCAGCGAGGAGCGGGGGCTGGAAGGTCACCCAGAACATTCGTTTTGCAAGCTCCCCACCAGGCCTTTCCAGGAGACAGACGAGCCCAGTTTCACAGTTTTGCTAGAATGCAAGCCCCTGGCTGCGCACTTCAACCTGGGGTGAGTTTTAATGGAAGCTGCAGGGCACGCACACGCTGCCCAGCCACTGGCCGTGAGGAAGAGGAGGAGACGGGCCGCGCAGAGCTGAGCCGTGTCCACCCCTTTATCCTGAGGGCCTGAAAGGAGCGATTGAAAACTTCAGGCGAAACGAGAAGTAAGATTCAGAGCTCCCCACGTAAACAGTGTGGCCCGTTAGGGAGTTCATTTCACCAGGGAGACGCGCCATGAAACTCAGGAACCCTGCTGTCCAGTGGAACCGGTGCGTTTCCGGGGGTTAGCCTGTAGGACCTTCAAGTGGAAGTGAGGCCGTCTCCACTATGTCCTTCCTGCTTCGTTAGATGTCCCTGGAGCCTGTCCCCGGGGCCCGTCGTCGGCGTGCGTGCGTGGGTTATCACAACGGCCTGGGAGCTGGTGTCCCACCCCAGCCTTGCCCCCTTAGTCCATCCCTCACGCCACCTGAGTCTTCTCTCCAAAGCTCAGCTCTGCGCCCCCTTCAGTGCTCAGAACCCTTCACCGATGTCCACTCAGGGCTTTTATATCACCCCACTGCCCACCTTCCTGCTCCTAGTTCACTGACACCTCGCCCCTCCACGTGTGCTCTGATTCAGTGCTGCAGCCACCAAGCCTGCCTGTGGTTCCTCAGAAATGTAACCGTCTGTCTTGTGTTTATGCCCAGGTTCCCTTTTCGGGCTAATTATCTTTTGTCTCAAGATGCGGCTATGCCAGGCGTCATCTCTAGGAAACGTCCCCTAACCTCCCTGTTATGCACTGCTGCCCACGCACTGCTGCCCACACTCTGGACGCACGTGAGGTTGGCATCCATTCGGGCACCATCACTGTGTCCTCACTGGCTAGTTATTGGTCTGGTTCCCTGATTTGCCTGGAAAACCTTGAAGGTAACAGTCATATATTTCTAGCCATTGTACCTGTAGCACCTGGCATGGAGCTGATACATGGATGTGTTGCAAAAAAGAATGAACACAGGTGTTTGTTTGTTTTTTAATATATTTTTATTGATATCAGAGAGGAAGGGAGAGGGAGAGAGAGAGAAACATTAATGATGAGAGAATCATTGATTGCCTGCCTCCTGCACGCCCTCTACTGGGGATCCAGCCCACAACCTGGGCATGTGCCCTGACAGGGAATCAAACCCTGACCTCCTGGTTCATAGGTCAACTGCCAACCCCTAAGCAATGCCGGCTGGGCTGAACACAGGTATTTTTTAATTTAGTTTGTGACCACGTGTTTGTGGGTCTTGGTTGTGCACGATCTGAGTGAAGTCCTGCTCAGTGGTGCTCCCAGGAACATGGTGGGGATGAATAAGATGAACAGGGTTAGGGTCGGATATCAGTAACACGCAGACTTGTCACTCACCTTGAAGCATCACCAAGCTGTGTCTACTGGGTCTCCCTGGGGCAGTGGTTCTCAACCTTCTAGCCCTTTAAATACAGTTCCTCATGTTGTGACCCAACCATAAAATTATTTTCGTTGCTACTTCGTAACTGTAATGTTGCTACTGTTATGAATCATAATGTAAATATCTGATATGCAGGATGGTCTTAGGCGACCCTTGTGAAAAGGTCGTTCGACCGCCAAAGGAGTCTCGACCCACAGGTTGAGAACCGCTGCCCTAGGGTGTTGATGAATTGAAACTCCCGTGTTGTTCCAGGTCAGCTGTTGCCGGCGAACCGCAATACACCGAGTCCCATCGATCCCGACACCATCCAGGTCCCGGTGGGTTATGAGCCGGACCCAGCAGACCTCGCCCTGTCCAGCATCCCTGGCCAGGAAATATTTGACCCTCGCAAACGCAAGTTCTCCGAGGAAGAACTGAAGCCACAGCCCATGATTAAGAAAGCTCGCAAAGTCTTCATCCCTGAGGATCTGAAGGTAAATTGGAACTGGTAACCAGGCCATGGGCAGGTGGAGAGTGGGAGGCTCAAGAGGCGGATTAAAAGGGTGACCCCGGGAAGATCACACAAGCTGGTGAACAAAGGACTCTTGATTTCTGATCCTATTTCTTGGCATGTGACTCTCAGCAAGTTGCTTCCTCGCTGGGTGTCTTCTGAAACATGCCTTTCATGTCTCGATAATGCCCAGAAAGAAGGAGGAGCGATACAATGTTGGAGATATTTGCAGCCCATGAAGGAGGCAGTCTGCAAGGAAACACATGAAAGGCCAATAAAATCAAACTATAACCTTTCAAGGTTGGAAAGAGAGAAAATCACTGGGGAAGGGCATCTTGGCCTCCCAGTCTTCCAAGGGAAATGCCCTGTGGGGATTGATTGATAACTAATTGCTGTCCTTTCCCGGAGGGCCTCGGGGAACAACAGCTGGAGACAGGACCCCTCTCCACATGGCCAACCTCGGGTGACCAAGGCGGGATTTTGTTAAAGAAGCTGGTGGGTTCCTGACACTGTTTCTTTTAATGTTCACTCTGGACCTCAAATAATGATCACTTGAATATCTCAACAAAAGGTTAATTCCAAGTTGGTTTTTCTCTGCTGTGTTGAAGGGACACATGATTTATAAAGGAACGTAGGTTTATCTTGGGAAGTCAGATGCAACTTAAAATTATTCTGACACATTTAATGAACCTTAGGGAGGGAATTCTTTAAAATGTTGCATGTCCACTGGCATTAAATTAGAACCACTTTTGATTAGCTGTTGCTTAGACTTGTGTGTTTATGCTTCATTCCAAGCATATGGACAATGAAGATATGGTTATCTACATTCAAGGTATTGGCACCAAGCGTAATCCATTAACCCTTTCCTAATGTCTGACCCCCATCTCTCAGGCCTCAGTCTGGTTCAGATGGAGCGTGGCTCCTTGGCTGGGAAATGGGAGTTTGGGGCCTTGTCCTGGGACTGGCTTAGACTCCTTACCTCTACTTTTCCATCCAGAAAGAGCATTGGAGGGGAGGTGCCTGGCAGAGTTGAATCTCTGCTATCATCTCCGTACCTGAGATTACCTGGAGGGATGCAGAATTGTCAGGGCTGAGCAGACCTCGGAGATTCACTAGACCAAGCTACCCTTTTGTAGTTGAAGAAATGGAGAAGCAGAAAGTGAGATAGGTGAGCACTGCTCACTGCTAGGTAGAGGAAGGCCTAGCCTGGTCCCCGAGTCTTCTAGTTTCCAAACAGGTCACTGTAGCGCGTTGCCCTTGCAGGGGCTACAACAGGGGTTCCTGGGGGACAGACCAGGAGCTGTTCCCCTGAGAATCAGAAGAGGAAAGTGCATAATAAAACACCAGAACATCTAACCTGGCCAGGGAATTGCTGCTTAGCCTACGACGGGGTGTGAAGGGGCACCATCGGGTTAGGTCCCTGGGCGAGTAGGTATCTTCTTTGGACTGGATGGTTTCTCTCATCCTGTGCGCGTAGCCGTCCGGCTGTGTTTCAGAGCTCATCTCTTATACTAAACCCAGGAACCCGTTCGGCCTGGATTTCCTTTTGAATGGAAGGTAGTTTGAACGGATGCTGCCAAGTAAGAGATGTAGCTCCCAGCCAGACCTTCGTAGGGTCTCCAAATTTACAAGGTCAAAGCAGAGGGCAAGCCTACCTAACATCCCAGGTAACCTTGGCAACAGAGAGACCACGTGGAAACCTTCTGGGCTGGGATTCTGCATCTCACTGTTGTCAGAGCCAGGCCTGACCTTTTCCCGCGGAAGGTGGGAGCAGGCAGCGACATCCTCCTGCCACGTGTCCTTGGATTTCTCCAGTTGGGAGGAAGCCTCGGGCCACAGACCATGCGCTCGTGGGAAGCGGGAAGCTCTGAGCTTGGGTTGGGGGGAGACCGGACTGTGGCCCCAGCACTGGATGAGCAAACCCACTGAGTGAACCGGCCTTCCCCACTGCTGCCCGTGCTTCCTCCCTTGAGCCAGGCATTTGGGTCAGCATGCGTCCCCTGGGAGGGTGAAGGGGTGGCACACTGGGACTCCCAGCTGAGACTCTGATCACTTTGATATCTTCATACTTTGCAACATCCATTCATTCACTTGGCACATATTTTTCACTTGAGACGGAGAAGTTGGTTGAGTGAACTGGTGACTCCCTGGGCCCTGTGATGCTGCTGTGTGTCAAGCCCTGTGTCAGGGGCTGGGGATGCGGAGGTGAATTGGTCCTGGCATTGTTTCTTACCCTCCAGGCACTTCTAGTCTGGTGAGAAGGGATGCTGGCCTGGTTGGAGGAGGAGGCATCAGGAAGATGATGGGAGAGGACTGAGGGGTCGGTCCTTGCTGGGTGAGGGTGACTGGGCAGCCAGGTGGCATCTGCCCCTGGGGGCGGAGGAGAAGGGGACAGGGGATGTGGTGCCAAATGTATCAGCCCCTCAGTCTCCTGCAATACAAAGGGTGGCAGCTTGGCTTTTCTCCGCCAGGACAGCCCTGCATCATCCCTGCCTTCTGCATCCTCCCTCCATTCCTGTCCCCATCCCTCGCCTTTCCTAACCCATCTCCAGGTGTGGACGGGGGAGGCTGGGGGTGTAACCGCCTCAGAGGTGAGAGCTCCCAGAGACAGAGAAGTTGGTTGAGTGAACTGGTGACTCCCTGGGCCCTATGATGTGGTCACAAACCAAGTCCATGGCCTATACCCCATCTGTCCCCCCAACACACACAGCTTCTACAGTATCCCAGGGGGTGATTCTCACATCCTTCCACACCTCGTGGGCGCCTGTTGCCCTGGGTGCAGGTTCGGACACATCCTAAGTCAGCCTCTCTTTTGAATGACCTTGGAAACCACACTCCAAGGAGCATTGAGAAGGCTGGCAGACCTCCTGACTCACCACGGGGAGGGGAGGTGCGGGGGGGAATTGGGGTTTACATCGAAGTAACACAAACAACTGGGGGCTATACCAGAGGCTACACTTGGGCCCATTCAGCCCTGGGAAACCTTTCACTCCCCCAGCTCCTCCTAGCCTCTCTCATCCACTGGCGTGGCCCTCTGCTTCCTCCAGCCCCCTGCTCCCTTTTGGAAGCAAAATAACAAATCCCACCAACAGCCGTTGCACACCTGCCCAAGCTAAGTCCTCTCTAAGGACAGTTCTGGTAGCAGCCAGTACGAAGGTCTTTTGTTTTCCCAGTTTGTTACATATCATCATGAAATATATAGAAAGCTGAGAGCGCTTTGTAAATAAAATTCCAGCTTGTGAAAGCCACAGAGGTGCCTGCACACGCTGTCCGTCTCACACCTTCTGTCCTTGATTAGGGCGGGTGTCTGCTGAGGGTAAGGGGCCGGTATGGGGGTGGGCCACTGACCTTGGACCTGGCTTACAGCCTTGGCCCCAACCCATGTGACCTCGTCCAGTGCCAACTGCCCCTTGGAATCCTGGGGGAGGGTGAGAACTGGCCTCACCCACTTACTCTGGGTGGCATGTAACTGCACCCAGGCTTGCCAGGATCCAGAGCGATTTGCTCTTGCCAGTTGTTGAAAAGAGGGGCGGGGGCAGGGGGAGTGGCAAAATGCACCAGGTGACACCACAGATCAGTCAGGAAGGTCTAAAAGAAGGCTTGCCAGGAGTGTTAGTCTTCCCAGGAGTGTTTTCCTTTCTTCTGGCAGGAGGAGCCGGGAGGGGGGAGGGGGAAGAAGGGACCGCTTTCTTGTTGACCACAGTTAAACATTACTCAGGCTAATTAATGCACAGAGACCCGTGAAACAGGAAATCAGAGTAAATTATTTAAATGCTAGCCACCACTATGAGTATGTTGATGTGGTGGCAGGTAGAAGTTTGGTGGGTTTTTCTCAATTTCTGTTTTTCATTGCCAAAATGTGCATGCCCATTGTGTCATATGCCAACAGTTCAGAAGGGTATAAACTGAGAAGTTAAAGATCCCCCCTTTCTCCTTGGACCCCTCCCTCGAATCCTCCTCTGAAGGCATCACTTTTCACAGCTTGGCATCAATCACTCTGGGCCTCTTTGTACGGATACGTAATATTGTGATTTTTTTTTTAACCAGAGTGGGATGAGGCCACACACATTTATGTACAGATTACTGTTGTTTCCACCCACATCATGGTCTATCATGGACATCTTTCTGGTTCGACTGGATTATCATTTTTAATAGCTGCAGAGTATTCACCATCAGTATTTAGTTATCAAATCTCTTACCAATAATTACGTTCCCCTCCCCACTTCTTTCCTGTTGCGAACGGCGCCGCAGTAAACATGATGCCTGTGTCTATGTGCACACGCATGCAGGTGGCAGCAGGAGGAGACGTTCAAGGTGGAGTAGCTGGATCAGTAGTGCGTGCATTGAAGTAGCTGACAGATGTTGCCCAGTTGCCCTCCAGCAATATTGTGTCAACCCTAAATCCAAAAGCTTATGAGGCTGGGCCAGCGTGGCTCAGTGGTTGAGCCTTGACCTATGAGCCAGGAAGTCATGGTTAGATTCCGGGTTAGGGCACATTCCTGGGTTGTGGGCTCCATCCCAGTAGGGGGTGTGCAGGAGCCAGCCCATCCATGATTCTCTCTCATCATTGATGTTTCTCTCTCTCTCTCTCTCTCTCTCTCTCCTCCTCCTCCTCCTCCTCTCTGAAATCAATAAAAACATGTATTTTTAAAAAAGCATATGAGTGCCCATGGAAGAGAAGAGTTCAAAAAATAACGATTTCAGCAAAAAGAGTGGAGAAATCTGGAATGCCATTTAGGGTGTGCGGGGCGCCCCTTGCTTTCTCTCAGCCTCCGACCTCTCCTCCTGGGGCACATGCCCTGCTGGGCAGAGGGTAGGAGTGTGTGGTGGCAGGCCGGTCCCTGCTCCGGGAAGGGGGCCATGGCCCACGGACTCCACTCAGGGTTGCTGAGACTGTCAAGGAAGGAGCCGCAGATTAAGACTCCTGGGCTGGTGCCTGGGCGCAACCCCAAGGCCCGCCAGCCGCCCGGAGGCCCTCAGCTCTGCCGAAATCTAATATCCTGTTTCCTTTCCCTTCTGCACCTACCGAGCAGGATGACAAGTACTGGGCAAGGCGCAGAAAGAACAACATGGCAGCCAAGCGCTCCCGCGACGCGCGGCGGCTGAAGGAGAACCAGATCGCCATCCGCGCGTCCTTCCTGGAGAAGGAGAACTCAGCCCTGCGCCAGGAGGTGGCCGACTTGCGCAAGGAGCTGGGCAAGTGCAAGAACATTCTGGCCAAGTACGAGGCCAGGCACGGGCCCCTGTAGGACGGTGTGGAGGGGGCTGGCTTTGGACTAGATGGACACTGCGTTCCCCGTATGACAGCACCACACCCCACCTGCCCTTCCCGACGTCAGCACTTTACCGGAGGCATCAATCAACACAACTGACTCCCGCTGTGGCGTGTGCGCGCTGGGCGCACGGGCTTGAGCGCGCGTGTGGCCAGCGGTGTGCGTTCCTTTGCACTTGCCATTTCCAGAGAACCCTCTCATCCTCTTTTAGCTCCCCAAACAGAAAGGTGCCATGTTTTTACTGGACTATGGAGACCTCCGGCGGGGTTTCCTGCCCCTCTCCTCCTCCCCACTCCTGCCCTTTCCACGCGGCTTCGTGGTCGCTCTTCCCTGCTCTGCCAGGACCCTGTGTTTGGATCCACCGAAAGGGCCCTGGGAGAACAGTAGCTCTCAGTTTTCAAGACCCGGCTGTAAGTTACCATGCCAACACGGTGCACAAAAGAACCCAGCACTACTCCGCGCCCTCTTCAGCTGTAGGTCGCTTTCCTCATCTTTTCAGTTTGGATGATCATCGTCTTCGCATTGAAAGTGCTGTTTAGATTCATTAGATCCCATATTTACTTATCGTGCCACCCACTGAGTTTCCTGTCATTCCGCCCACCCCGGATCCATAAGAGTACTCTCACAGACCACAGAGTGTGTGTTTGCACTGTCTGTACCTAAAGCAATAATCCTATTGTACGCTAGAGCATGCTGCCTGAGTATTACTAGTGGACGTAGGATATTTTCCCTCCCTGAGAATTCCACCCTCTTTTAAAAAACAAAAATGACAGCAATGCATTTGAGCATGCCCAGAACATCCCCACCCAGGACAGGGAAGTAGAGGGAAATGGCAGGTCTGAGAAGGAAGGGCTACTTTATCAGCATAGGAGCCAAAAAAAAAAAGAAAGAAAAAAAGTGCATTTTGGGAATGGCTTTTGACATGGATATGTTTGGTTTTGTTCTCTCCCTTCTCCCATAACCCTCCCCCCTCACCCCATTTTTATAGTTAACTTTTTCCATAGCCCTCTTGATATTCCCAACAACTCCATTAAGATTCAGTTTCCCCCGTTTTTTGTAATATATATATTTTTGTGACTTCTACCTGGCTGTTTTTAAACATCAGTTACGTTAATGAGTTGGTGTTTTGTATGACCCCTTTTCCTAGCGGTGCCCTTTTCGAATGCTTCATAAATTAATGATTCTGGAGCCTACAGCTCTTATCCTGTTTGCTTTTGAACGTATGTGCTTTTATAATGTGGACTTCTGAGAAATGAATGTAAAAGACACTGGTGTATCTCAGAAGGGGGTGGTGTTGTCACAAACTGTGGGTAATCCAATCAGTTTAACTGTTTACTATAGACCCAAAGGAGAGATGATGAAATTGTCTAATGTTTATACAGAGTAATTATAGGAAGTTCTTTTTTTGTACAGTATTTTTCAGATATAAATACTGACCATGTATTTTGGAAGACATATATTATATAGAGCAAAGAGAAAAGGAAAACTAGTCCATGTTTTGAAATTATATAGCAAAGATATATATATATATTCATCAACGTTGTACAGAGAAGGGCTTGGGGGTTTTGATGTCTTTAATATTGTAAGCCTATCACTGACACATCAGCATGTTTTCTGCTTGGAAATTTCACGACAGTATCGAGGCTCGCTGTGCTGAATCCCGCTCTAACATATAGAAGGAGGTGTCTTGTTTCCTAGTTGGTCTCAGAAAGAAGTCAGTGAACGTCACCCAAAAAGCACAAAATGGATGTTAGTCAAATATTTATTGGATGCTACCGCGTTTTTTAGGGAAAGCATCTGCCACAAAAATGTTCACTTCAAAACGATGACTTCCTGGACTGGAATCTCACTGCACACACCCCGCGCAGCTCAGTCCTTCCCGTGGGCACGCGCGTCTTAGGCAGTTGGCGGTCGATATCGGTGCTATGTGTGACTTATGACTTGATGGATGTTCTGACTTTAAAGATAGTTCTTCCGTTTTGCTCAGTTGTGTCATGTCAAGAGATTCTGCTGTTATTACAAAGAAACACTTTGTGCTGGATTAAAACACCCTTTCCTCCGTGAGATTTCCTAGTTTCCTGCGTCTAGAGTACCTGATTCTTTAGTGACCCGGTGGGCTCCTGGTCAGCCCGCCAGCAGTTGTCTCGTGGTGTGAGAGTCTCGGGAAACCCGGCTGGGCGGGTATTCCCACCAGGTATTCATTCGGTCCCAGGCGACAGAGGACAGTGGGCGATGGAAGAGTGTTGGAACTGAAATGCAGTGCTCAGGTGAATCACTCACAACAGAAACAAGCAAGACCTTGGGCGATCTCAGGCCGATGTGAAGAAGCGATATTCAGTAAGACACACAAGTGAGCCAGGGTTGGCCTTTTTATCGGAAAAGAGGCTCATTGCCATAATTGTTAAATGGCACTATTCTCTAAAGCAGAGACAAATGATATATGTAAGTGGTGACGTTGAAGGGAGCATACCCCGGACCACCCAATCCATTGATGTATAAAATGGTAGCGCCCCCCCCCCCCCAAAAAAAAACAACAAAAACTGCATTTGAGTGTTGGTCTTTCTTGAAATTAGATTGTTTGTATCAAATGAGCATCACAAATGTTTTCTGCAGAAGAAATAAAATGATCATAATAAAACGTACTCTTTCACGTGCCAGGAAAGGTTTCAGAAGCCTACCTCATCTTCAACAATTTTGAACTTTGGAGTCTGCACAGGTGCCTTATATGTAGGTCATTGCCACGGCACACACGTGAGCACTCGCTCCTGGACTCGCTGCCTTCCGCCCAGGCCAGTTACCTGGGAGCGAGGCAGTTCTGCTAAATGCGTGGGGGGCCGTGGCCCAGTGTGGCATGACTCCAGTCCACCGGAGTCAGAGGAGTTCTGCAGACTGCAGCTATTCTAACAGTCCTGCTGTCATTTCCCCCCTTTCCTCATAAGCATCTTTCAGAGATCAGTTACTTGGCCATTAACAATGAAGCCCAGTGGTGGCGTGCCAACATCCTTTAGACACGATTTGGAATGAGTGGTCCAGGGCTTCCTGCTGAGGTCCCATCGCCATTTCTTCGGCCCAGACTTGCAGAGAAAGGCCGGAATTGCTCATCCTGTCCTGCCCATGCTACCTGTGGCGGCAGGCGGGGGCGGGCGGGCTGTAAGTGGCCCTCTCCTTCTCTTGAGGAAGTGGCTGCCTTGCCCCTGCAGGCGTGGAGGGCACCTGCAACACCGTCGCTTAGAGCAGAAGGCCCTGTGTTGGAGGAGGGTGCAGAGGCGATTCTGGCGTGGGCTGCGCAGGACGCTGTACTAGGTATCCCAGTGCTTCCTTTCAGCTCGCTGGTCTTGTGAGGGGCTCAGAATAATTCTGCATGTGCATTGACAAGGTCTTGGGTCTATTTTTGTTTTGTTTCTTTAGCCTGTTTTTTTATGTATTTTTATTGATTTCAGAGAGGAAGGGAGAGGGAGAGAGAGATAGAAACATCAATGATGAAAGAGAATCATTGATCGGCTGCCTCCTGCACGCCCCACATTGGGGATGGAGCCCACACCCTGAGCATGTGCCCTGACCAGGAATCCAACCGTGACCTCCTAGTTTGTAAGTCGACTGAACCCCACCTGCTGGCAATAATACCATTTTTAAAAAAATGAGCACAGCCTTAGCCTCGATCTTGATGAATTGAACTTGGCACAAAAGTCAGTACATTTCACAGAGGGCCAAATGTATATAGGGGTGTGTGTGTGTGTGTGTGTGTGTGTAACTATTTAAGTCAAAACATAAAAATCTTTAATTTTGGAGCACCTTACCAAACATCACAATAATCTACCATTATCTTTTTGGCAACACCACAAAGATTGCATCCGCTAAACAGGTAAAAGTTCACAGGAGGTCGGTTTAATTGTGTACCATGATATGGGCTGTGTTTATGCTGTTCAACGCAAACCTTTATCTGTTATCCTTAATGTTTAATAAACTTTGAATTTTTTTCCTTTCTTTCATGTATTTTTGTTGACAGTCTGCTAGAAATGACATTCTGTTCCCAACTCTATCGCCAAGAGAACATTTACAGAGATTAGTTACATAGATGATAAAATACTACTACATCATTAGCGAGACATAAACATTTCTTGCATATTTATGAGCCAGACCCGGTGCTAAACACTCCCATGGAATATTCAGCCCTATGAGGTAGGGACGGCCGTTATTCCCGTTTGACAGAAGACAAAATAGAAGGTTCGGGGAGGTAAAGAGCGGATCGAACATTACACAGGTAGAAATGACTTCTCATCCGTTGAATGGGTAGTATTTAGAGCAGGGGTGGGGAATCTATTTTCTTCCAAGGGCCTATTTGGATATTTATAACATCCTTCGTGGGCCATACAGAATTATCACCTTAAACATCAGCCTGCTACATTTGGTCAAACATTTAATTAACTCACCTCTAATGCTTTGGCAGGGCCAGACCCAGTGGTTTCCCGGGCCTTACATGGCCCGCGGGCTGCACGTTCCCCACCCCTGATTTAGCGCCACGGCGTCTGTTTCAAACTCCCGCCCAGCGTCTGTTTCCTGGGTGGATATACAAGAATCATTGGGGAACATACCACAGGGTATAGAGCCAGTGATGCTGACTCGGTAGAACTGGGGTGGAGCCAGGAAGTAATTCTTTAAAGGCCCAGCTAACTCCCACGTGTGGCCACGAACCAGGAGCCAAGGATTTCTAGGCTCAGCCTTAATTCGAGTTCATGACCCTTGGTGGAATCCACGTATAAGCTCCAGGAAGTCCGTCATTTCCTGAAAGTGAACGCTGTTTTCGTGTATAACTGAATTTATTTTTTTCTTGTGGAGTCCCTCTCCTCCCCTCTCCCCCTTCCCGCCCCCGCCCCCCACAGGAGTCTGGGATGCAAGATGGAATGAAACCCCGGAGTATATAGGAAGGCTGATGTCAGAGTGGTTCCAGCCCAGGCAGCCTAGCAGAGCCACCTGGGGAGGCTGCGGTCCCGGCCAAGGAACTCGGCGTCTCTGGCACGAGACCGGGACTCTGCGGTGAGGAGCTCGAGGACTCAGATCTGTCACTTAGCAGGTATGTGACCTTGAACTGCTACTACACATTTTGGAAGCTAAATCTCCTGTGAAATGTCTGTGAAATGCCGTTCTCACCGCCACCCTTGAGGGCTGTGGGGAGGAATAATGACAGAACCAACGTGCAGGTGCCCGCTCGTCCCAGGCCCGCAATCAACAACCTCGGAGGGAGCCCAGAAAGGAGAATGTGCCCAGAGCACTTTTTCCAGTTCAATGTTTCAGACCACTTGTTCCTTCAAAAAGGACGGAAAACAGGTCTCTTGCTAAGGAGAAGGAGCAGGTGGCTGGTGGGGTGGGGAGGGCAGTTGGGGGCAATCAGGTTGGCAGGGGAGCGGTTAGGGGGCAATCAGGCTGGCAGGGGAGCGGTTAGGGGGCAATCAGGCAGGCAGGGGAGCAGTTAGGGGGTGATCAGGCTGGCAGGCAGGTAAGCCGTTAGGAGCCAGCCGTCCTGGATCAGGCCTAAACCAGCAGTTAGACATCCCCCGAGGGGTCCCAGATTGGGGAGGGTGCAGGCCAGGCTGAGGGACACACCCCCCCATGCACAAATTTCATGCATTGGGCCTCTAGTATATATATAAATAAACATCTATATCAGCAGATATAAATATGTAAATATCTATCTGTATAAAAGCCTAAGTGATCATCTGACCACTCAACCATCTGACCAGTAGCTATGACTCACACTGACCACCAGAGGGCAGATGCTCAACCCAAGAGCTGTCGAGCTGCAGTGACTTGGCAGCTGTGGTTCTCAGGTGACGCACCCGGAACCAGAGAGGAGGGAGCCGATTCTGGGGTGGATCACCTGAGAACCACCCTCTCATAATCTGGGACCCCACAGGGGATATTGGAGAGCCAGTTTCAGCCCAATCCTCACAGGCCAGGCTGAGGGACTCTAGTATCTATAATAATAAAAGGGTAATATGCTAATTAGACCAAACATCCTTCTGAGCATCATTCCAGACAGCCTTCCAGATGAAGCTGGGGCCAGAACAAAGCAACCCAGATCGCGGGTGCCAGGGGGAAGCCGGTGCCGGCAGCCGGGGAAAGGAAGGCCTACTCGTGCATGAATTCTCATGCATCAGGCCTCTAGTGAATATATAAAAATAAATATATATATAAACATATGTATCAGCAGCTCACCAAACCCATTCCTTTTTCCTCTGGACAGGGTGTCTGTGTTACTAACATGGCTTCAAGTTCTTCTAGCTGCACCTCTTCTCCCAAGTAGATGGCAGCCCCTAAGCCACTTCGAGCTGGAAATTCTGAAGCCCCTCCTGAAAGTGGGCCCCAGGATATAAGGACTTGGCGACCTGTGATCTTCAGCATGACCCTGCCGGCCAGGCCTGTCGGGGATGGTGCCCCCAGCCTCAGTCACAGGGTCCGCTACCGGCCAGGTTTCTTCAGCAGCAATCAATGCTGTGCTTTCTCTGGGTGATCTCCTGGGACTGAGAAGGGGGTGGGAGGAGGAGGGAAAAGGGTGAGTCTCCTCATGAACCCCTCACTCGCGGAGGATGCACTCAGGGGAGGAACACGGTGCCCTGCCACGCGACGAGGACACCCCCCCCCCGCCCCCCGTCCGTCTGGACAGCCTGGCACCGCCGAGCATTCCCTCCCCTGTAGCTCAGGTGGCCTTCCAGCAGCCCTGTGAGGTGCTCGGGGTGGGATCAGTAAGGAAACTGAGGCAAGCCCTGTCCAAATGCAGAGAGGAAGGGGGCCGTATTTTGACAGCCCTCATTCCCTAAGGGGGTTGTGCTGACCCCAGCCCATCCGTGTGTCTCCTGCACGCCTGGCAAACATACCCCAACTCCCTCCGAGATAATGAATGAGTTTTGGATAAATTTGAATAAATAAAAGCCCCTGACAGGGTGCTGACTCCCCAGCCCTCACCCTGGGGCTTCTCTCCCCACCACCCCAGGGGTCAAAAATTATGGTCTGTTGCCTGGCCGGCATGGCTCAGTGGTTGAGCGTTGACCTATGAACCAGGAGGTCACAGTTTGATTCCTGGTCAGGGCACATGCCAGGGTTGGGGGCTTGATCCCTAGTAGGGGGCATGCAGGAAGCAGCCAGTCAATGATTCTCTCTCATCATTGATGTTTCTATCTCTCCCTCTCCCTTCCTCTCTGAAATCAATTAAAAATATATTTAAAAAATAAGGATTATGGCCTGTGAGGGAGGGGCCAGAGCCTAATTGAATTCCTCTGAGCTGGGGCTGCCTTTCCTAAAAGGAATCTGCCCCATCTTTAGCCTTATTCTCCTTTTCTGAGTGTGTCTGTTTGTAGCTTTGAACGTCCTTAAATGAGTGACCTTTGACCAGGCTCCTGTGGCAGCCAGACACGCCCTCCCTGTCCAGCCCACCCCACCTTCCATGCAGCACCACAGAGAACCCAGCACCCTTCTCTCAGCCCTACCCCCCACCCCCCGCCCCTGCTGCTCCCCCAGCCACAGAGGGAAGTGAACATACACAAAGGCTTCATGAAAAGGTCCCCTTGAGAGACCAAAGTGCCTTTCTTCCTTTTGAATGATGATGAATCTCAGGAATAGAGGGAAAGGCAATGAAAAGAGGAGCCAGGAAGGAACCTTCCCCGTGGCCTCACCGTTCTCCATGGGAAGCTTGGATCCGAGCTATTTGTGCACTGAAATGGCCATATTCTCCCTCTCCCCCCTTCTGTCTCTCGTTCCTTCTCCCCTCCCCTGCTCCTTCCCTCTCTCTTTCCTTCCGTTCCTCCTCTGTGGTTGAGGTGGAGGGATGCGGGTGAGAGGTGGGAAGAGGGGAGAGAGATGCAGGGCCCGGGCAGGTGGATGGGACAGGAGAAGCCCAGACTTCCTGGCCCCTGACTGCGACCTTGTAAACACCCCAGTTGACCCTCTTGCTCCCCATTCACCAGTGTCTGCGTGAGCAGGAAGCTGGTGCTCAGACGCCCACCCCGAGGCGCTTTGAGGATCACACAATCCTGTTGGAGTCAGAGGGCGCCTTGGAGCTGTTTCATCTGGTAAAGCCTTTGATTTTCAGATGAGAACACTGAGGTCTGGGGAAGGCGAGGGATGTGCTGCCTGTCGCACGCAGCCAAGTGCAGCCGCAGCCGCCCCTGCCGCCCAGGCCCCGCTGTCCCACGGGGCGCCCTGTCCCCTCTGCGGCTGTGTCCCCTGTGGACCCAAAGGGCAAAGACGCTCAGATCCTCGCTCTGCAGGGAGAAGGGGAGGCCCGAGAGGCTCCCCCTCAGCCCACTGCCTTCCCGGCCTAAGCTCGGTCCTTAAGGGCCCAGTCCTGCCCATTCCTCAAGACACAGTGAGATGTCACTTTTCTTTTGAAATCCTCTCCAGAAGGTCCCCTGCTTGGAAGCAGTCACCCCCCCACACCCCTACCCCCCCCCCCCAGACCGCACCCCACTTCCACACACGCTCTCCATCTGGCCCTCTCTCTGGTGGCTAACTCCCTGCCATGTGGTCTAGACACACATGCCCCTGGCGGAGCCCTCACAGATGTCAGCTTCTGGGAGGCACACTGCGAGGCATCGGAAACTAACCCCAACTACGCCACTCCATGCCGTCTTCATTCTCTAAGGGGTTTTTGTATTTGCATATTCTTTTTGCAAAGATTAAACAACCAAGAAAGGAGCTAATCTTGGGCTCTTTCATTCAACGTGACCTCTTTGCGTTAAGAATTCAATCCATTGAGCCACAACTGTCCAGGGCAGCTTATTTCTCCGCCTCCTCTTTCTCCAGGTCCTGTCTGGGTGGAGAAACTTACAAGGCCTGGGGGGAGAGGGACTCACTTCTGGGTGCTGGCATTTTCTGGGTGTCTGCCTGGGAAGGGACCCTGCTTTGTCCTTCAGAGCGCTGTGTGTGGCCCCGACTTGGCCTCCAGGGGTGAGTCCCCACTCCCTGCGGCCACCTTATCTACCACCCGCATC